GGGACAGCCGAGGGCTGCGGCCGCATCCGTGCTGCTCCCGGCCAGTGAGGCGGCACGTACTGCAGCTCTCCTCATCCGAGTTGTCCCCGCAGTCGTTGTCGTAGTCGCACTGCCAGCGCCCCGGCACGCAGCGGTTGTTCTTGCAGCGGAACTGGTAGGGCTCGCAGGTGCGTTCATCTGTGGGGGGGCGCGAGGTTGGTGCTAGTCGGCACGCGGCGCGGCCGCAGGGGCAGACGTGCCCTCGAGGCCCTGGTGGACGGTCTCCCCGGCCCCAGGCTCACCGCACTCCTCCTTGGGCTCGTCGGAGCCATCGCCGCAGTCGTCCTCCCCGTCGCACTTCCAGCGCGCCGGGATGCACCTGCCCGAGTCTTTGCATCGGAACTCATCCACGCCGCATGTCATTTGCGCTGCACGGAGAGGAACACGTCACTGACGTGGCACCGGCCAGCTGCACCTCAAGGACAGCTTCTGCATTGACCCGGAGCCGAGCGCAGCAACGGGGCAGGAGCCCTGGCTGCTGCTCTCCAGGAAGGGAGGCAGCAGGGAACGTCGCAGGGGGATGGACCCGGGCAGAGCAGGGCCAGCACTGCCTGCGGCATGCGCAGATGTGCCAGACCCGAGCAGGGACCCTGCACACATGAGGACGAGCTGGGGGCAGAACCCAGCACCCTGCGTGCGAGCTGCTTACTGCAGTTGGCGGGTTCATCCGAGCCGTCCACGCAGTCGTTGTCCCGGTCGCACACCCAGACGCGGGGGATGCAGCGCTTGGTGATTGCACACTGGAACTGGTTGGGGGCGCACGTCACCTCCGCTGAAGAGGGAGAAGCAGACTCAGAACAGGGGGGTCCTGCCAACAGCTACCCTGCCCAACTGCCCTGCTGGAGATGGGCATCTCCACAGAGTCTCTGGTCAGGCTTGGTGATGCCTTTGCTCAAACAGGGCAGGGAGGAGAGCCCTGTGACAGCCCCAGAAGACTCTCCCGTCTGCTCCACTGGCCCGAGCAGCTGCAGGCAGATGGGGAAGATGCAGCAACAAATCCCTCAGCTGCGAGCAGATGGCTCCGGGTAGCGCAACCCCATGGCAAATATGTGAACTGGCCACGGAGGGATTTACCGTGCGTGCTCCTCATGCACCCAGTAGCCCCCACTTACGGCAGTCCTTCTCGTCCTCGCCGTCGCCACAGTTATCCTGGCCATTGCAGCGGAAGATGCCCGGGATGCAGCGGTTGGTGTTGGTGCATTTGAACTGGCTGGGCAGGCACACGTGGATATCTGGGGAGGGAGGCGACGTGGTCAGAAGCTGAGACAGAGCATCTCCGTCTCACTCCTCGGATGCCGCAGCAGGAGGTGGGGAACCTACCGCAGTTGGCTTCATCCGAGTTGTCCTGGCAGTCGTTGTCCCCATCGCAGATGAAGGCCGGGTTGGTGCAGATCCCCGTGGAACACTGGAACTGCCCTGGCCGGCATTTGAACTCGGCTGCGAGGAGAGCGGGGCAGGGTGAGACAACCCCCGGGGCAGCATTTCCAGGGCAAACCTTAACTTCCCACTTCACCCTCTGTGGGGCCCTCAGCTAGGACTGGGCAAACAACACACGAGGTCCTGGGCTGGCAGAGGGGGAGCGGGGCGGCCTGCACCGGGCCAGAGAGCCAGGCCGACTGCTGCAGCGCTCAAAGCCCCACTCCAAAGGACAAGGCCACCCGCTCCATGTCCTGCCCTGACTCACGGCAGTCCTCGGGCTCATCTGAACGGTCCCCGCAGTCGTCCTCGGTGTCGCATTTCCACCAGAAAGGGATGCACTTGTCGTTCTTGCAGACAAACTGCAACGGAGAGCAGCTGGGGAGGGTGTGCGGGAACGGGGCGCCTAGACGGGGACCTCTGCACCAACCCGGCCCCAAGCCACCCCACACAGCCATGGGGGTTTGGGGAAGGGGCAGGGCAGCCCATGGGAATGAGGCTCTGGAATTGGGGCAATCGTGGCTCCCATCCCAACCGCCGCAGTCTGCACGTGCTGCCAAGGGCCACAGGAGGGAGATGTTGCCCACGCCAGGAGAAGGCGGACGCAGGGCGCGCACGCACGCGTGCCTGGGGAGCCTCAGGGCCGCTGCAGCAGCACGGGAGGACGCGGGCAGCGCCGGTACCTGGCTGGCCGTGCAGTTGGAGACGCAGGTTTTGCCATCGCTGCCCAAGTAGAAGTTGGTGGGACAAGCGCACTTGTGCCCCCCGCCCGGGGAGAGCAGGCAGAGGTTGCTGCAGCCGCCATTGTTGGTCTTGCAAGGATGGTTGGGGACTGGGAGGCGACAGGGAGAGAACTGTGATCAGAGTGGGGAAAAGAGAACCCCCAACAGTGCACGAACCCTTCGCTGGGCCTCCCATCCCACTGCGGACATTGCCCAGGGCCACCAGAGCCCCTTGTGCCCCGGCCCGCGGCTCACCATCAGGCTGGCGGTAGGGGTGGTAGATGTGGATGTCCATGGGGCGGTGCAGCGTGCTGATGAGCAGCGTCTTGTTGGCGCCCGTGGTCTTGTGAGCCCGGTTGATGGACTTGGTCTCCCAGTCGGTCCAATAGATGAAGTCCTCAAAGAGGGTGAGCGCGAAGATGTGCGGGATGTCCTGGCTCAGGACTGCAACAGGGAGCAGGCGGCCCCTGAGAGGCTGCCCCAGCCCCTGCCGCCCATCTTGGCCGGCCACGCACCGGGCAGTGCCCCCCCAGGGCCACCTCGGCCACAACCAATGTCCTCCCTTGGCCAACAGGGCTGGGCACAGAGCCCAAGGTCTTTGCTCCCAGCCCCATGCCAAGACCACGCTCCTCCAGAGGGACAGAAGGGGACACAGGGCCCGGCCCTCTCACCCGTGTGCCGGTTGGAGCCGTCCAGGCTGGCGAACTCGATGTAGTCCTCCCGCGCGTCAGCCCAATAAATTCGGCTGTTGATGTAGTCGAGGGTGAGGCCGTTGGGCCACGTTATCTTGGTGTCCACGATGACGCTGCGGTTGGTGCCATCCATGCCAATCTTCCCGATCAGGGAGTGGTCGCCCCAGTCCGTCCAGTACAAGTAACTGGGGAGGAGAAGGGAACCGCGGAGGGAGGCTGAGTCCAGGGTGTCCCGGAGCAGAGGAGGCCCTGTCCTGCCTGTCCCCAGGACTAGCGCCACCAGCAAGACAGGCCACTGGCGCTGGCGACATAACAGGGATGGTCCCAAAGGCTCTCACCCGTTCTGTACATCCACCACCAGTGCCCGGGGCTCGCGCAGGCCCGAGTTGACCAGCACCGTGCGATAGGCACCGTTGAGCTTCGACACCTCTATAGTGTCCCGACCCTTGTCGCACCAGTACAGGTTGCCGCCCACCCAGTCCACAGCCAGGCCATCCGGGTTGCTGAGACCCGTGCGGTGAAGAACCTGCAAGGAAGAAGCAGGTGAGGAGAATGGGATCCCGCAGGATTCCATTCCCGCAAGAATGAGCCCAGGTCCCCCTCCCACCTGAACGTTGCTCCCATTGATGTGCATGCGGCGGATCATGCTGCCCTGCGTGGTGACGTCCGTCCAGTAGATCATCTGCTCCCGGTAGTCGAAATCCAGAGCCACCGCGTTGTTCAGCCCCTGGAGGAAAAGAGAAGCATTGAAGCAGCCTCGGGCACAGGCAGCCCTGCAAGGGCCCCAGGCCCAGCTCTGTCCCTGCAGGGATGTTAGAGGCAGTTACAGACAACTGTAGTGTGTTGCCTGCATAGACGCTACCTTATAAAGGTCAGCTACCAAGGAGCTGCTGTTTACACAGGACCCGGCGTATATTTATAGTGAGAGCTACTATTTATACAGGACCCATCATCTGCGTCAGAAGCCAAGAGCCCAACTCACATCCCCCCTTTCGATGCCACTCGTTTCACCCCCGCCTGGTCCTGGGGCTGGTGCCACCCTCAGGTGCCCCCACTCGCCCGTACCTGCTTGAGCAAGGTGTAGTTGGAGCCGTCCAGGTTGAGCTTCCTCAGGTAGTACCGGTTGGCAAAGATGAGGAAGGGCTCTTCATCTGCAGGGGGAGCGGAGGCGGTTCGGGGCGGGCTGCAGGCAGGGCCCCCGCACCCAGCAGCACCCGCGCCAGCCCCGTCCTGCCTGGCTGCCACCGCACCCCAGCGAGAGCCCCGCGTCGGGCACCAGCACCAGGTGTTCCAGAGCCCCCCTCCTCCAGCCCCGCTCTGGGCACTCACCCGTGACGGCTTTGCAGCTGGTGGGGTTGTCAGGCTTGAGCTTGTAGCCCTCTATGCAGAGGCACTTGAAGCTGCCCAGCGTGTTGATGCACTTCTGGCTGCAGGGGTAGGTGGTGGAGCACTCATCGATGTCGATGCACGTCTTCCCGTCGTCCTTGAGCCGGAACCCGGGACGGCATCTGCACTGCAGGAGGCAACCGGGAGCTGTTAGAGGCATCCGTCACCACCGCACTAGCGGGCTCAGGCGCAGGGAGCTGGCACTAGCCAGGACTGCCCACATGCGCTGCCCTCGAATCCAACGCGGGCCCCTACCTTGTACCCGATCTTGAGGTCCTCACACTCCTGTGAGCAGCCGCTGAGCTTCTTGTTGAGACACTCGTTGATGAAGCAGTTGAGCTCGTCAGAGCCGTCCGCGCAGTCGTCGTTGTTGTTGCACAGCAGGGCCTCGGGGATGCACTTGCCGTTCTTGCACAGGAAGAAGGAGTCGTTGCACTTGTTCTCTGCAAGGGTGGCAGCGGTCAGGGCCTCCTGGCGCAGCAGCTCCCTGGCCCCCACCAGACCCGCAGGTACCGGGGCTGCTGCAACGCGGGTTCTTGGGCGCCTCGTCCGAGTGGTCGTGGCAGTCGAACTCGCCGTCGCACTCCCACTGGCTGTTGCTGAGGCAGCGGCCGTTGGCGCAGCGGAACTCGTGGGGGCCGCACGTGGGGTACTCTGGAGCGGGGCAGCGGCTCAGGCTGCACCTCCGCCCCCAGCCTGCCCCATCCCTGCACCCCCCGCATGCAAAGACTCCCCAGCCCAGGTCCCTCTGCCAGAGGGTCCCATGTCCCCCTCAGGCACCCACCACACTCCAGGGACTCATCGGAGCCGTCACCGCAGTCGTCGTCGTGGTCACACACGAAGTGCTTGGGGATGCACTGCCGGTTGCCGCACATGAACTCCCGCTCATCGCACGTGTTGTTGTACACTGCAAAGAGACGCCACTGTCACCCTCTCGCGCCACCACTGTCCCCTACCACCAGCTCCCCCCACCACTCACAGCAGGCGTCTCGTCAGCGCCGTCGGCACAGTCCTTGTCCCCATCGCAGAGCCAGCGCTCCGGCACGCACACGTAGGTGCCAGGGCACTGGAAGGAGCCAGCGCTGCAGGTGGTCAGACCTGCGGGAGGGACGGGAAGGGACCGTCACCAAAGCAGCATGACTGGAGGGAGCAGCCAGGGCCAGGAGTGGGAAAGCAGGGCTGGGGGGCAGCAGGGGATACGGGCCGGAGCAACTCACGGCAGCGGCTGTCCTCGTCAGAGCCGTCCCCGCAGTCGTCCGCCCCGTCGCACACCCAGAGCTTGGAGATGCAGCGGTGGTTGTTGCACTCGAACTGCACCGGGTAGCAGAACTTGTCTGGGGGGCAGAGGAGGAGGAGGAGGAGGTCAGGGCTGGGCCGCACAGAGGAAGGACAAAGCAGAAACCGAGCAAGGTAAGCTGCAAAACTTGGGGAGCCCCCCCAAAAAACAACCGCCCACACAGGCGCATGCACCAAGCAAACAACATACAGGACATTGCTCTCGGCCAGAAGCAAAGGCCCCAGCGGAGACCAGCGCTTCCACCGCCCCGCCGCGACCCCGGGCCCTGACTCTCCCCACCCTGCCGCTCACTGCAGTGCGTCTCGTCCTCCCCGTTCTCGCAGTCATCCTCCTTGTCACAGGTCCAGGTCATGGGGATGCACCTCCCGCTGGGACAGGCGAAGTAGTTGGCCGGACACTTGGGCTTCCTTCCACCTGCTTTGAGAGGAATCCGTCAGGGAGGCCGTGACACCAGTGGAGCCCATCTGTGTCCGTGTCCCGAACAGCTCCCAGGGGACAAGAACCCAGGGAGATCCCTGCCACCCCCGGGAGCAGCATCCCGGCACAGGGACGCAAGGGGATCCTTGCAGGCAGAGCATCCACTGTCCCAACGGCCCCAAGGGCGGCGCAGACTCCCCGACCCGGCGCTCCGTCCGCTCTCACCGGGGCAGTTGCGCTCATCCGAGTAGTCGCCGCAGTCGTTGGCGCCGTCGCACACCCAGCTCGGGGCATAGCACAGCGAGGTGTGCTCGCACTTCTGGAACGTCGTGCCCTTCACCCCCAGCCTGAAATAGCTGCTGCAGTCGGTGGCGGCTGCAAGGAAGCAGACCAAAGGCCTAGGTAATGGGCACAGCTCCCTCGGGGCAGCAGTAGCCCTCGCCCTCTTGCTATCACCAAGTCCATCTCATCCCCACGTCTCCTGCACCCCGATGCTGGGATCACCCATTTCCTTGCTACGTGCTTCAGATGAGCTACTAGGCAGGGCTGGAGGTGACACAAGGGCCAGCACCTCCTTCAGCACCTGCTGGCGGCATCCGAGCCCGGACCCTGCTCCCTCCAACGCGAGTCCCGCAGCCCCAGCGAGCCGCAGGACGGGACGGTCACCGGGGCACTCACTGCAGTTCATCTCGTCGGACGCGTCCTCGCAGTCGATGAACTGGTTGCAGCGGCTCGAATTCCCGATGCAGCTCCCATCCCGGCAGCGGAACTCGGTGGCGGCGCAGCTTGTTTCTGAAAAATGCGATGAGGCCACCAGGACCCGCCGTGGCCCCTGCGTGTGCTCACACTGCCTTTGCCCTGCCCGGCCTTGGACTGACCCTCCCAGCCCTGTGTCCTCCTCCCAACTGGTTCCTCTCCGGCTCATGGATTTGCCCAAGCTCCTCGGATGGGGCCTGGCCCTGGCACAGAGCCGCTTCCGAGCTGCTCAGGACCCAGCAGATGGAGCTACAGCTCTGCCGGGGCCACCTCAGTGGGACGTTGTCCTGGGAGGTGCCAGGTGCCCCTTTCTTGGGAAGAGGCAGCACTGGCACAGCACCTGGTCATCACCTTGTGCTCCTCCTGGGTATTAAACCACTCTAAATAGCTTTGGTTGCGGCACTGTCCTTCTCAGGAGCTTCCCTGCTCCCGTGGAGTGAGTTTTAAGGAGCTGGTGAAGGAACACGCAGCACTGCCGGGGTTTAACCTTGACTCTGCTAAGCCCCGGCTCTGCTTTGATGCTGTCAAGCTGAAGGTAGCTCCCTCCTGAAGTCCCTGTCCCAGACAGCTGACCGCGCAAGGGCTGGCGCGGCGCCAGGCAGCTGCTTACTGTTGCACGGCACTTCGTCCGAGTTGTCCCCGCAGTCATCCACGCCATTGCACCAGTAGTGACTGGCAATGCAGCGGCCGTTCATGCAGTGCAGATAACCCTTCTTGCACTTGCGGCTGCCTGCGAGAGAGAGGGGAATGGGAGGACGAGAGCAGGGCGAGGGCCTCGGGCTCTCGGCTCCTCACGGACCCCTCCGCAGTGGAGAAACCGTTGCACAGAGCAACATGAGGAAACCAACTGCCTCGGGCTGTGCTGGCAGCATCGGCACTGCCCTGCAGAGACCCTCTCCGATGAGGAGCAAGTGCTGCCAGCAGGAGAAGGTGCTGCGGCCTCCTCGGGATGGCTCACAGCATCCCGCTCTCCCGCAACTGGGAAAGCCCTGGAGCCCGGGAAGCCCAGCTCGGAGCGCAAGAGGAGCGAGGCAGAGTGACGGGGCGCGAGGAGACAGCCCGGGAGAGCTGGCTCCCTCCGGCTGGCAGACAGGGAAGGGTGCGAGTGCATGAGCATGCGTGAGGGCAGAGCAGCAAGAGGAGGAACCTTACTGCAGTAGGACTGCTTCTCATCCGACTTGTCCTTGCAGTGCACCACGCCGTCACAGGTCCGGCTGAAGTCGATGCAGTCGCCGTTACCGCATTCGAACTCGTGCACATTGCAAGTGGAATTGAGGGCTGGCGGGTGGGCGAGCAAGGTCAGCTCTGCCCGGAGCAGACAGGCTGCCCTCCCACTACCCCTTCGTGCTCCCCACTACCCCTTTGTCCCCCACCTTTGCAGGTGAAGTCCTCCTGCAGGACGCGCTCGCCACGGCACGAGCAGTTGACCTGGCTCTTGGGCGTGAGCAGGCAGAGGTCCTGGCAGCCGCCGTTGTTCACTCTGCAGGGGGACAGCTCGCCTGGGAGAGACGGAGAGCGGCCCTGAGCACCCCCGTGCCCTGCCACACCGGCCGGGTATGGCGCTGGCTGCGCTCTCCCCCTGCCCTGCCAAAGGGGACACGGCGGGCAGCATCAGGGGCATCGGCCTCCTGCGTCTGCATGGGGACCCGGGGAACAGCCTCGTGTCCCCTGGCTGCAAACGGGGCCAGAAGAGCCAGAGCTTCCTGGCAGGGGCTGGAGGAGCCCTCGCAGGCCGAGCAGGGCAGGGACACATCGGGTGGGCACATGGGTGAGTGTCCTTACAGCTGTCAGTGTCGTTGGCCACAGCAATGATCCCCATGGGCTGCTGGGGGATGTCAACACGCAGGAGCTTCATGTCGGTGCCCACGTATTTGTTCGCTCGCTGCACGGCCCGGCGCACCCAGTCCGTCCAGAAGATGTAGTCGCCATAGACAGCCAGGCCAAAGGGGTGCACGGGCTCTGATTTCAGGATCACCTGTCGGGTGTTGGCGAACCGTGAGCACCTGGGCTGAGGGACACAGGCCCCAGCACCACTCCGACGAGTTCCCACCCCAGTCCACCCGCCCGAGGGAAACCCAACGTCCCTTTGCCGCAGGAAGAGCTCTGCTCCTTCCAGTATCAACCCCTCTGCTTTGCCCAGCCCAGGTCTGGCCTCCAGGACCTCTTGTCCTCCGCTCTGTCCCCAGCGTAGGGGCCTCAACTCACGTGGCGGTGGGAGCCGTCGTACTCGCAGCGCTCGATCTTGTCCAGCGTGGCATCCGAGAAGTAAATCTTCTCAGCCTTGTGGTCGATGGCTAGTCCATTGGGTGTCCGTATGTCCTGGTCTATGATGATGAGGACATTGGCACCGGACAGAGTGGCACGCATGATGCTGGGGTGCTGCTCGTTCCAGTTGGTCCAGAACATCAGGCTGGAAGGGAGAAGACATCAGATGCCTTTGAAAACCCCACTTCTCCCCAAGTGTCTTCGATCTACCTTCCACCACTGGCAGATGGTGGTGGCCCACCCCTTGCTGCTGTTTCCAGGGACTTTGGGACACACAGGGCCACTGTTCCCAGTGTAAGGGGGCAGAAGTGGATGAACAAGGCAGCTGGGAAAGGTGGCAGCTCATGGTTGGCAGCCCATGGCACCCGCTGGCCCAAGAAGGGGATGGGATGGGGTTTCCCTCTGCTTCCCGCAGCCACAGGAGGGCTGTATGGAGACATGGGGCTCTGCACCCCTGGGTGTATCTGTCTGATCCAGCCTCCTCCTGGGGAACTCGGCAGGTCCAGGAGGTCAGGACCAACATTTCCCTTCTGGAGCAGAACTGCCTGCCTGGCCGCGGAGCACATGGACACAGCAGCCACACGTGGCTGCGGGACACTCACTTCTGGCACTCGTCCAGCACGAAGGCCCGGGGGTGGTCGTCCCCTGACATGGTGATCACGGTCTCCCTCTCGAAAGCCCCCAGGCGGCTCTGGTCCACGGTGTGGCGGGTGATGGTGGACGTGGTGTAGCTGGTCCAGTAGAGCGTGTCCCAGCCGCGGTGGTAGGCGAGCCCCTCCACCGAGCCCACGTCTGTGGGAGGAGAGGACACAGGTGAGATCCAGCCCCTCGCTCCTGCTGGGCGTCCTGGCTCCTCCTGGTGCCAGTGGTGGCGTGTGGCTTGTAGACACGGACTCTTTGGAGACTGACGTTGTTGCTTTTCATGACACCCCAGGATCCCTCGGAAGCAGGACGCCGCAGAGCCGGCGTGCTCGCGTGTCCCAGAGCCCCGGAGCAGCATGAGCAACTTGTGCTGCACAAGCTGCCACCGCACCAGGATGCAGCACCCAAAGACGCAACGGGACCATGAACTCGCTCCATCCTCCGCCTCCTCCAGCAGCCCCCGGGCAGCAGCGCTAAGAAGGGAAATGTCTCCTGTCCTAGGGACGGGAGAGCTGAGGCCCCGAGACGCCAAGCGATGAGCCCAGGGCAAGCCAAAGACCTGTGGCACAAGGGAGGGAAAAGCCTCTTCCTCCTGGAGAGCCAGCCCAGGAGCTCTAAGCGCTCCCCATCCTTCCCTCCCCGTTAATGATCAACAAAAGGTTTAATGAACCGGCTGCAAGAGACGGGACCTGCTCTCCTGATCTCAGTAATAAAAGCTACCTCAAGAGCCAAATGTAAATATACTCATTAGTGAGCACATTTACAGCCCTTGCTGGAGGCTTTCCCTGGTGACACGCAGCAACAGACACAGCCTTTCCAGCAGCTGTAGGAGCCAATAAAACTAATCAAGTGCAAACCCCGGGCTTTGAGGCGCACGCGAGGCCAGGCCACGGCAAGGTTTGCTCAGGTCTGACAGTTCCATATCGGAAGTCGAAAGCAAACACAGAGCAAAGTTTGCTGCTGCGCCTTGGTCCGAGCGCAACGCGTGCCCGAGAGCGAGCACAGCGCGCTGCTCCTTATGGCCGCACACGCTCTGCCCCGGGCTGGTGTCTCTGCTGGAGACCCTGGTAGGGAACTCTCAGTTGAGCCCAAAAGCCTCCCAGCAGCAATCGTGAAGGGAAGGAGAGGAGCCTGGATGAGGAGGAGGGTGAAGGGGACGCAGGGCTGAGGGAGGCGCAAGGAGGGGCGCCCACGGCACTCACTCTCCACGATGGTCTTGCGCCCCGTGCCGTCATCGTTGATCTGCTGGATGTTGCCGAAGTGGATGTCGCTGTAGAAGATGCGGTTGCTGCCCTTGGAGCCGTAGCGGTAGTCGAAGGCCAGGGCAATGACGTTCTTCATGTGCTCGGCATCCTCGAAGGGCTTGATGGGCGCGTTGAGGTTGTTCTCATCTGACAGGTGGATGCTCTTGAGGATGGTCCGCTCCGAGTAGAGCAGGTAGCCGTCGTAGTCGCGGCAGCTCACGCCGTCCTCGGAGAGCATGCCGTGGGCGCAGGCGCACGTCCGCTGTCCGTGGCCCCGGAAGAGGCACAGCTGCTGGCAGCCCCCGTTGCTCTGGGCACAGATGTTGGTGCCTGCGGCGGAAGAGAGGCCGCATTGAGAGGACGGCACGGGGGGCCACGCGGCTGCACAGCTCTCCCCCCGTTCCCAGAGGAAGCAGGTGAAGGAGCGGGCTCAGCTCACGCATGACACAGCCCTTTCATGAGGACACAGCGGCCCGTTTGTCTCCTGGCCCCTCCGTGCGCATCTGTTGGCAGCAGGGACCGATGCCCCCCCGCAGCCGCCGGCCTCGTCCCTACCCTTCTGCCTGGCGCGGTTGAAAACTTTGATGTCCTTCAGCTGCACGCCGATGCCCGTGCGCAGCGACACCGACTCCGTGGCGTTGTCCTTGCTGCCTCTCTTAATGGAGCCGTTCGCGTGGGTCCTGGGTGAGGAGGGAGTTGCTGAGCAGCTAACACGGGACTGGAGGCAGCGCCAGCGCCACTGCGGCTGTCCCTCCGTCCCGCCAAAGACCCGCAAGTGCTCGAGCCTCCCACCAGCCCAGGGGACCGTACCGGTCACTCCAGTAAATGTAGTCCTCGAAGACGGACACCGAGAACATGTCCATGTTGTTGCTGGACAGGACGACTTCCCGGTTCTCTCCGGTCTCCAGGTCGATTCGCTCGATCTTGTCGGTCCGCGCGTCGCACCAGTAGAGCTTCCCATCCTGAAGGACAAGAAAGCAGCTGAGGGAGCAGCAGAGCAGCGCCCGGCCCTGGCCAGGTGTCCCCACGCCAGAGGGGACACTCAGAGCCCCACATAGGGCACTGGTCTCCTCCAAGGCCTTGGCCCCATGGCCATGGGCCCCACTGTGCACTCCCTGCCAGGTCGTGGAGCCATGGAGGGGGCACAGCCCTTCCAGGGCCGCTGTACCTCGTAGTCCACCGAAATGCCGTTGGGCCAACTGATGCTGACGTTCACCAGCACCATCCGCTCGGTGCCGTCCAGGCGGGAGCGCTCGATGCGGGGATACTGCCCCCACTCCGTCCAGAACAGGTACCTGCGAGGGACGAGCGGAGCATGTGCTGAGCTCCTCCGGAGCCCAACCTGCCCTTGGTGGGCAACAAAGAGGAGGTCTCCACCAAGCCAAGGAGAGCTGTGACTCCCAGCACCCCTGGGAGCATGGCTGGAAGTTGGGGCGTCTCCAGATGTTGCTTTGGGTGCCCTGGGCCTGTCCCCTGCCACAGCACAGGGCAGCAACAGAGGGGATGGAGAGGCCCCGGAGCCCCGCTGCCCCACCGGGGCCACCCAGGGCTCCTGCCCCGCCGCCAGCAGCACCCTTGGGGCAGCTCTGTGAGGGTCCTCACCCCTTCTCTGGATGGACCGTGATGGCCCGGGGCTTGTCCAGGCCCTGCGAGATCACCACGTAGCGGAAGGACCCGTTCAGCCTGGCCACCTCGATGACATCGAAACCCTGGTCGGTCCAGTAGATGTTCCCTGGGGAGAGGAGGACGGTGAGGACCGCAGCGAGCTCTGTGCGATGCCTCATGGAAACCTCCGCACTGAGGAGCCCAATGCCCACCTGCGATCCAGTCCACAGCGATGCCTTCCACCCGGCCAATGCCGTTGGTGACCACGTCCTCTCGCCACGTCTGGTCCCGCTTGGCCCGGCTGATGGTGCTCAGCCCCATATCCACCCAGTAGATGGTATCGTTCTCTAGGAGGGGACAGGCCGGAGCGCTCAGGTCAGCCACTGGCTTGGGCCCAAGGACAGCGCAGAGCCAGGCTGAGCTCCCTTCCAAGGGAGCAGCTCCCGCATTCCCATGCTCCCTCCCATCTCCTGCTCCAGGTGTCTCAGCTCCCAGCCCGGCAGTCACCTGCGTGGAAGTCAATCCCCACGGCTAGGGAGGTCCCAGACACCGGTACCAGCGCATCCGACTTGTCGTTGGGATCCAGGGGAATGCCGCGGATGCCCTCGTGCACCGAGTACAGCAGGAAGGAGCCAACACCTGCAGAACAAATGCAGAGACACTTGAGCCCCGTGGAAGAGGGTTGCCCCACTCGGGCCTGGGGGACAGGAAACCTGGAGGAGCCTCAGCCCAGAGGGAGGAGCGAGGGCCAGACCCTGCCTGGAGCTGCTGCAGGAACCCAGCACGGATCCACCCGAGGGCTGTGGGCCCGTGGGGTCCCCGGGGGTCTGGCCGCAGGGGCACGAGCGCAGCTGGCTCGGCGGCACGGCCCCCTTCCACCCCCCTGCCAGCCCCCGTGCGCAGACAAAAGCTCAGCGCCGCATTTGGGTCAGGGCAGCGCTTGTTATTCAGTCCCTGCCCTGACCCAGATGGTGCTGCAGCTTTGCCAGCCCCATCCAAAAATACTCAGAACATTTTGCACATAAACAGCCATTGAGAAAGGCCCTGCTGGTGACGGGGCGGGGGGGCTCTTCCCTCTCCAGGGGACAGCAGCGAGTCAGACAGCGCACTGGGAATCGCAGGGCAAATGCTAATGGGGAGCGGGAGCTGCTGCTAGTGCCCAGGAGAGGCAGGGGAACATCTGCGGAGCGGGGGGACGCGGGGAGCGCACGGCCGCGCTCGGGGCATCGCGCAGGCTTCGTCTCCGTCCCGCGAGCGGCCCAGGTGCGGGAAGCGACTCACCCTCACAGGACTGCTGCCCACTCTTGAGGCTGTAGCCCGCGGTGCACATGCAGGAACGGGAGGTCTCCGAGGTGGGCAGGCAGAGCTGCGAGCAGTCGCCATTGTTCACACTGCAGGGGTTGGTTCCAGCTGCCGCCAAGAGAAGGGGATGTCAGCGGTGGCCGGGGCTCCACGGCGGGA